TTGAGTTCTGTCAATGTTTTAATTTTGGATGGCAAAGCATTTTACTGAAAACAATGTCTGACCAAATGTTGTTCTATACAGTTTCCACTTACTGTGCCTCTAGTTCTTATTCCACTCTTTTGTTTCTCTACTATTTGACAGAATATTTCTGGTACAAGTTTGTTCACACACTTAAAAACTAGTTTTAGAAATGAAAAATTTACAAAACTGTCAAAACTCAATATATTCTGTAGAATGAGGCAGTGGCGCCATCTTACAGATTTCTGGTCCATTACTTTTAGTGCCTGTTATAATAATAATAATAATAATCCTTATTTGTAGAGCACTTTTCAAAAACAAGTTACAAAGTGCTTTAACAAGTGTAAAGAATAATACAAAAAAAAACAAGATAAATACAAAAAAAAACAAGATAAGAGCATGAAAAAGTAATATAAAATTAGTAAAATACAATAAAATAAAAGGGATAAAATAAAGTCAAATAAAATCAGGAAAGGCTCTCCTATAAAAGTATGTTTTAAGAAGGGACTTAAAAGAGTTCACTGACTCAGCCGACCTGATTTCCTCGGGCAGGCTGTTCCAGAGCCTCGGGGCCCTGACAGCAAACGCTCTGTCCCCTTTAGTTTTCAGTCGAGACTCTGGAACAGACAACAGACCTCTGCCCGAGGATCTCAAGGTACGTGCTGGTGCGTATGGGACTAAAAGGTCAGAAATATAACAAGGCGAGAGGCCATGAAGAGCTTTAAAAGTGATCAATAGAATTTTAAAGTCAATTCTAAAACATACTGGGAGCCAGTGTAATGAAGCTAAAATAGGAGTAATGTGGTCATATTTCTTTGTTCTGGTTAAAAGCCTGGCAGCTGAGTTCTGGACAGTCTGGAGTCGATCAATAGATTTTTGGGTTAAACAGGTGAAAAGGCTGACAGGTTATGTAATGACCTAATAGGTGTAGTTGTTGTTTGGCTGGCCTGACCCCAAACAGTTATGCAATACGATAAATGAGAAAATATCTCACTGAATGCATAAACTGCTGTGCTGCCTGAAGGGTTATATATTGTGTTATTAATCGTAAGCAGTTTAAATTGTCCTGACAGTTCTGCACATTCTCTTTACATGTCTATCAAACTTAAGATGAGAATCTAAAGTAACCCCTAAAAATTTAAATTAATTTACCTATCTCCCTCTCATCAATCTTTATTCTGAAATTTTCATTGACCTTTCTTTTTATTATCATTTTGGGTCAGATGATTATTTCGGAGCCACTGTGATACACCGTCCAGTTCTTTTGGAAGCATTTTAGTCAAGAGTAAAATTACTGGACTGTTGGATGGATTCCCTACACTTCATACAGAGCCTGGTAGCAGCGGCGTGACCAGGACGTGGCCTCCCACGTCACCTTATTATCCAAAGTTATAACTGTCTGTGTGCTGTGTCAGTGGCGGGATCCTAGTTTGAATCTTTAGAGTTGGAGCTTGACAACAATGATCTCTTAAGCTGAACACACTGTTAGCTGAATAACTAGCCAATGTTTATACACAATTCAACTTGCACCTACTAAGCCCACCACACCTTAGTGGGTGAAGACTCATCTGCAATTGTCTACCTGTTGAATGTCGCATAGAAAGATGAAACTTTATAGCATTATTCTATATTCACATTCATAATGTTTTAATGGATTATGTGTTAGGTCCAGTACAGTAGGTGTGTCAGCGTAAATGAAAAATTGCTAATGCTCATGGTAAATAAATTCTTACACTTGCTGTGAGTTTCTGATTTGTGGTTGTTGTACAGATTGAAGATCTTTCTACATGTTTTTGTGGTTGTCATTTTAACTGTGTAAGAGCCAGAATGACAAAGATAATAAAGCAATTTGGAGAATAAACAAAGCTTTTGACTCATATTAATTCCCCAAAATGTATTTCTTACAGTGAACTTTTCAGCTTTACAATAGAGGGAAACTCCCGACCTTCACTGTAAAGGATCCACCTTCACCTTCATGTATTATCTAATTCAACAGTGAAACCACTGTCTGAGTACACTGTGACCTTCATAATGTGTCGGTTGGTTATTCTTATGAATCAAAGCAAGCTGCTTCATTCAATACAAGACTCCTGTGGACCTGTGGAAAGTACTTTAAATCGTTTTACTTCTTCAAATTAAAGATAAAGGTATCATTTTAATTTGAAAATGAATGTCACAAATAATAAACATACTTTTAAACGGTCACCAGCCGAAAAGTTCAGGAAACAATTGTAAACAAAAAGGTGTAAAATGTGTTTTCTTATTTCCCAATGTGTTTGGCGACCCAGACATCTACTGCCGCTTGTGAATGGATATTTTTTTTACAGCCAAATAAATGAACAATATTTCAGTTTCATTTAACCTCATCTTTACATTCACACTATTGTCCCTGTCAAGACTCTTCAAGCCCTTGGGTAAGCTTGAGACAAAAGTGTTTGTAGCTGTTCCCACCAGCATTACTTAAATTACATGCTTCAAAGCCACAGTATCATTACACAAAAAATATGTACTCCTTCCTCCTTTATCCTGCCTTTTTAATCTTTCTCTCCATCCTCTGCCTTCTCGCCTGCACTTGACGTATTCGCTCCAAAAGCTTTTGTAATTTACATTATTCCAGCAATTATTACTAATTGCTTCAAATGATAAAGAGTCAATTGTTATTCAGGATTTTTTAGTATAACAATTGCTCCGAATAAGGTCTGGTTCTCTTTTCAACTGTTTCAGGGGGTTTACTGAGAAAATAATATTCCCACTGAGCTTTAGGAAAATGTGATGGAAGTCTTTCAGTATATCTAAATCATTTACAATTAAATAATGATACAAAGTGTTTTGACGTTGACTGAGGCTTTCGCTTACGACTAGGAAACCAGTAAAGCCACAGAAATGTTGGGTGGACTATTTAATATATGATGGATTGTTGTCTGTGGTATGACTTGCATAAGGAAAGGAATTTCTACATAAAACTAGATTTGGTACAAGATTATGGGCTTTGGTGACTCTGTTTCCAGGTAATTGTCATGGGTATATTAAACAACCTAGATGACAACTTTAACTGGTAATGGATGAGTCACTGTAGCTGCGTTGAGGTGAAGTGGTTATTATGAGATAGAGCTGGGTATTTTTGTCATTATTTTTCTGTACAGTGGTGATGAGGATGCAGTGTGGAAATTTTAGACAGCTTCCCTGAAAATAACACACACATTTGTGTTAAGATAATAAAATACTTAGTGTCTGAACTGGTTACATCAGTTTGCAAACAGGGCCTTTTCTTTTCTGTCCTTTCATGCATCATCTGCTCTGCATTTCTTTTATTTGCATACTTTTTAAGTAATGTGTTCTTTAGGTTTCTTCCTACTTTTTTTATGCCCAACTGGCTTGTGACCAGAAGGTTTCTGGTCACAAGCCAGTTTCCTGAGGGATCAGGATACATCTGGGTGGAGAAAGTGAAAAGAAAGAATCTTGACCAATAAATGCTTTGGTGGAGCTGCTCAGTAGCCAGCAGATGTGGTTGTACTGGGGAGAATCCAAGTGTGGTGCATCCGGGGGTGGATGGGTGTAACTGTGTGAGAAGGCCCATCCTGGAAAAAAAAAAACTATTTTGCTTTCAGGGAAACTTCTCTAAATGAAAGGTTTTTAAAAATGTAATAAAATTATAACTAGGGCTGCTTGATAATAATCCTTATAACGATTATTTTGCTCACAATTACTTGGCAAAATTACGCATTTATTGAACTTTTAAAATTGAATGTTTTTGTCATAAATGCATTGCCCCCAAAATCCTAGTTAGCCCATCAAATAAGATCAACATTAATAACTTTAAACAGCATTTAACAACACAAGAGGTTGATGCAGTGTTTCCTGTACGTCGACTGCCCTGGGGCAGTGGTGTGGGGCGGGGCTCTGTGTGTGCGAGCTTAGCAGGTGACAGGGGAACCACTGAGTCGACACAACTTGTTATGTTCCCTAACGCTGAAACTCACCCACAATGTTCTGTCAGGAGACGCAGTGATTAAACTAAGAGTGAGTAAGACAAGTATAAATAATAAGAATGATGACTAACACATTTTGTAGCTGTTATGACCCCTGTCATTGTGGCTCGAGCTGAACTAAACATGCCACAAGCTGGCTGAGAGTGAGTTTGAGCTAGTGATGTGTGGATCGATACTAAAGTATCGATATTTCTGTTTCCTGCTCTAGGACAGATACTCATATAAAAGGATCGATATCTAAAATCAGTCATTTTAAATGAGTGTGTGTTTATCATAAATATTTTATTGTCACCAGGATGGTCTAATTAACTTCTCCTTCCACCTATTAAAGTCATACTTGTGCTACGGCTCTGTGATGGAGTTTTTTTGAAGTGAGCACTGCAGCTCTTTTCATTTCTATTTCCTGACCATGGCTTCACAGGAATAAAAGGTGGTCTGACAGATTTTACTCATGCCAAAGTAAGCTTGTTAAATCTGTCCAATGCAACACAGTATTTGCGTACTGATTTAGTCATTAGTGTTAGTGACATAGTGACATTCTAGTCTGCTTATGGATGACTAAACGTTTGATTACAGTAAGGAACTGAGAGTCTATTCAAACAACACTCTTCTAAAATATAAAGCTTGGAAACTACTGAACACATAGTATCTCAATTACAACTCAGCTACTCATGCTAAAAACAATCACTTCTGCTGGAACCACATCAATGGGCTTGTGTCTACGCATGTCAGAACAAGAAACCCACTCATTAGTAATTGGTTGCTGACTGGGTAAACGCTGCTCCCTCAAAACACATGTTATTCCCAGCCAAACATGAGCCATTTGTTTTCAACACAGAGTTGAGGTTGGGAAACCACAGCAACTATATGGTTGCTGTTGACAGAAAAACAAATTTGCAGTAAATTGGCCTCAAGCAGCCATTCAAATCTCACTCCGGCTTTAATTTGGTTGCAGAAGCAGTTCAACTAAATAGAAGAAGTCTATTCCAGTCATTTAGTTTTCCAATTCTCTACAACTTTTATTTGAAAGATTACAGGAATATACATGTCTTCATCTACAGTTTGGCAAGCTTTAAAGGCATTTTATTGACTTTGTATTGATTATTTTCTCTGTACTGATTACATTGGTAGCTAGCTATATTACTGTAACTCATCAGTGTAACGTTATGAAAGTAAATACCAAACATGAAAAAATACAGCTTCTGACTGCTTTTATCTGTGTGGAGTTAAAAGTGTGAATGCAGAAGATGAGGTAACAAAACTGAAAATGAGACCAGTGTTGCTGGGTTATTGATACTGAATTAAAGGAAAAATCTGTTTTACAGCCTGGTTCTTATATTTGTAGTTTTAGCCTTTAGTCTTTATAAAGATGAATGTTAACTAATATTAATTTGAATGTCCATTTTGGTTGAGGTGATGTGACTAAAATAAAACTGGACGTTTCAAACCAGCCTTACTGACTGTTAAGTAAAATGTTATCATACTAAAGGTATGAAAATACAAATCAGTGTCAGTCTCTTTACATCTTTGGGGGGGAAAGCACTGCATCAGAGGTTTACTTGTATCTTATTAAAATAAATGGGGACAAATCTTCTGCACTGGATTAATATTCTAACACTAGGTGCTGTTGTTATTATGATGCTGCGTAATAAATATGACAAATTGTATAAAAATATACACCGAGATGATCAGCTGAGACAGAGAGAGAGAAAGAGAGATGAGAGGTGGGAGGATGAGAAAACAGAGAGAAAATTGTTGCAGTTGGTGTTTGTTATTTTTCTGGGCGTGGATGTGTTCACATGTGCACCGGGTTAGAAATTACCTCCTATTTCTTCTTGTTGTTTTTGTCACTTCTGTCCTTTTCAGGGGAAATTTAATGAAATTTAAATGAAACGTTAGCAAAGACGCTAACAGCAAGCAGTAAGAACATTAAGTTTAGCTGTTCCAGGCCACCACTTGTTGTTGCTTTCCTTTAACGATATTGTTCACTGATGTTTATTTGCTGGCACAGTGGTTTGTGTTTGACAGTATTTTCCTCTCTGTCTGACATACAGACATTTTATCCAATTACTCAGAAAGGGCTATAGTCATATATTTGTGTGGAAACCATTCTTAGTAATCATGAGAAGTATATCCAGGAGGTAAACCAAGTGGAAAAGCAAAGTTCAGGTTGTTCTCTATTTTGTTTAATGCCACATACTTTGGGAATTTGTGAAGGCCCCTGAACAGTTTATGACCCTGTTTCTTCATTTGAGCATCTGCAACATAATATGTATATTTATTATAAAGAACTAGTTCGGCATTTTGGGAAATGGGTAAACAAATGAGATATATATGAAATGAGATGATCTTAGTTAGTGAGCTTTAGTGGTGCTGGCAGGCTCGACAGAGGGCCAAGCTAGCTGTTTCACCCTGTTTACAGTCTTTATGCTAAGCTAAGCTAAGCTAACCAGCCAGCCCGACATGCCAGTGGTATCAATCTTCTCATCTAACTCTCAGCAAGAAAGAGAAGTGTTCTTCCCAAAATGTCAAACTATTCTTTTAAGCTGATGATACACGGAGCAACTTTTAGAGCAACAGTGCTGAGCAATGTTGCCATCAATGGTAGTAATGAGTAAAGACTGCCCAGCAACATTACTTTAAAAGTTGCCCCGTGTATCATAAGCTTTATAGAACCATACCAGCAATGTTGCTTGATTTAGACCAGGGGTTTTCAAGGTCTGAGACTGCAGGCCTCCCCCCAGACAAAGCTTGTGAAACAGCACCCCTTCCACGACATCTTTAGTTTACTTGGTTAGTTTCGTTCAATTCCTCAGTGCCTTTGGGACCATGATAATATTATTTGATCCCATAGACACTCAACATTTGAGCCAAAATAGCCTAATATTGCTGTTTGACATAACTTCTGACTACACCAAATATTTTTTTAAAAGCTCTTTCCTGGGGCATCTTTTAGTTTCTGAAGCTGATGGGGGGGAAAACAGTTGCCAAAAACTACAGTATCTCTGAACTCTAACACATGTAGGCTCTTCTATGTAATCTCATTTTGGATTTAATGCAGTAAGTAATGTAATATTGTTTTTCTTCCATTCACTGAGCCTCCCCTGAAACAGTTTGGAGCCCCCCTAGTGAGGCCCGCTGAACACTTTTAAAACCCCTGATTTAGACCATTAACTGCATACTTTACATTGCTGCTGACTGTTTTGCCAACCATGCTGTAGACTTACAATTTTCAAAATTACAGCATGAAAATTTAATATAAAAGTTTACTTATATAAGTTTACTATGAGAAGTCCTCACTGTGTTGCCCCACAATGATATTATAACTCTGACAAAACATAACAGAGACTGGGATCAGCTGATATAAGTCATGCAAGTTTCAAGAGTCTACCAACTGATTTTTATAAGTAAGAAAAGGCAAAAATGTTTAAATTCTACAGCATGCAATGGATGGTCAGTAGGAATACAACGTATACATTAATTATAGTTAAGGAGCTAAAACAACAACAGTCCTTTATGTGTGCATGAAGATGTACTGTATACACTGCATTTATGAAATGTGTTGTGGCAGCTGTCGAGAAAGTCCCGCACCCTGCATCATTCCTGTGATTTGGTGGATAGTATTGAATATTCTGTTTATAATCTTCCAAACTACTACTTGCCAAACCATTCTTTTAATCTTTTCAATTTTCAAAAATGTGTTCCCTTTTCCAGGCACTTCTCGGGGCAGTTCCTCAGGAGTGGAACAGCGATGTGCCGGTTGTCCAGCGAGCATGCAGTGAAAATGCAGAACTTCTACAAAGGGCTACATCCTGTATGTGTGCGTCTGTCTCTCTGCGCGTCTAGTCGTCACTCTCGAAGGTGTGCAGGTAGGTTTTGAGGCTCAGGGTGCTGGTATAAGTGAGGTTGGTAGACCGGTAGAGGTCCAGGCCCGTCAGGATCTCGACATCTCGGACTCGGGCTGTATGGAGCTTCAGTAGGTCTTCAACCCATTGCGACTCATCCTCAGCATTCTGCAGACACAGACAGGAAGTGGTTATTCACTGTGGATATCGACAGCACCATGCTTATTTAAAATAGTGACCCTAAATGTCCTCAGTCACCATCGTCTTTTACCTAAATGACAGCAGATCTAATCTAAAACCATTACTGGCTAACAATATATATTTGTTGCTATCCTGTAGAGAATAATGCATGATGTCGCATGCTTCCCCCGAAGCAACTGCAAGCTGCACTTTGTCGGGGTTGCTGAAGTTAACATTTGTGTGGATTTGTTGTGAGAGGCCATGAGTGTTTTCAGTTACATTTTACGTTTTACGTTTTAGTTTAACGGCGGTGTCTGTCAGATGGTGTCAAGGGGACACTATCATATCAGCAGAGAATAGGGCAAGTAGATTTTTACTTTAAAGATTACAACTCTTCTCAAAATGTCACGGAAAACAAGATTATGAATGTGCAGAAAGTTTTGATGATGTGCAGAAAACTTGCTGAAACACAGGATATATTGAAGGTCACAGTTTTATAACCTCTTGTGTCATTGGTTACTTCCTCAAACAAGGACAAAATGTGTGTTGACTCAGCAGGGATTAAATGAGAAAAGTTGAGCATCAGGAGAATACATATCAGAAAGCAATCCATAAGGCCTGAGAGCCTTACTGCATTATATTCCATTATATTTATATATATATATATCTCTTTGTTTTCACTTGCCGCCTGAATTTTGTGTTTCCCTTTACATAAATGAAGAAATCCCCACCATAAAATTGATGCAGAAAAGGCAGAAATGACTGCAAAAAAAATCCACCAGAATGCAGGATATGAAGTTTTAATGCTCAGCAACAGACATGTAGTCAGTTTTTCAGCATTCCAGCCTGTTAGGTAACCAAGTTCACAGTTTCCCTATTAGGAAAGGGAGCTTTAATGCCTAGTTGTATTTTGTGCAGTTGACTTCAAGACTTCAATGCGCGCGTTTTGTCTGGCAGATTTAGCAAGCTGATAGTTGCAAATTTGATTTGTTTATGTTGTTGGCCAATGGCCTTCGCGAATCAAATCCAAGTCACTAACGTAAAGGTCACTAATAGGCTGGATCCGGACAGCCGATTTATTATTGAGACTTACTACCTCGTGACGGAGCGTTTCTATTTTAACCCGTGCAGCTTTTCTAGCATTTACTGTACTGGTTTAGCGGACTGGGGAACTCGCAGACCAATCGCATGTGCGCTCATGTGACGCTGCTCAGCCAATCAAATCTGTGCATTCCGACGCTTGCGAGTCGAGTCCGCGAGATTCAGCAGAGACGTTTTGGAAACACACCCGAATTGAGGAGACGAAAGGGAAAAGAGATTTCACATGGCTTCTAATCAAGACTGTACAGATTGTTACATGTAGGCCTACATTCCTCCCACGGTCATTTCAAAACCAGAATATTTCATAGATCTCCAGTCCAGCTGGCGGGACAAACTAGAGCTCATGTTTCTCACTGAACAAGAGAAGGGAAGTGGTAGCTCTGTAAGAGGGAAAGAAAGAGAAGATGAGGCCTTACAGCTGTTCATTTGTTATGATGTGTGGAGTATTTATTATAGAATTGGTTAAGACTGCACTTTCTATTTCATTTATTCCAAAAATTAGGCACTTTATTTTATTAGAGTAGTTAATATTTATTATCCCTCCAGTTTAATGTGAAAACTGACTGAAATATTTGATTTGACAGTCCGTTGTTGACTAAAAACATGTGTTGATACAACTATACGTTATGGTACTGAATGATAACCAAGTTAGTGGTTTTGATGAATTTTTTTCAAACTGGACCTCTTTGAAATTGAATACCCCTGCACTAATGCTTGCATACAGAGGGACTACAGGGTCTGCACCATCTACCTACAAACCATAATACCGGCTTACGTTCCTTCTCGGCCACTACGCTCCTACAACGAAGGCCGCCTGGCTCTGCCATCCCTACACACAAAGCAATCTCAGTCCCTGTTGTTCTCATCTCTTAACACCGCAATGGAACAAGCTACCGCACCCTATCAGAGCAGGGGCATCCCTCTCTAGCTTCAAGAAGCTCTTAAAAACTCATCTCTTTCCGAGAACACTTTCTATTATAACTCCTCTAACTCCTAACATCTAACATGCACTTCCTTCTTCTTCTTACCCCATTGATGTTATACAGGCTATTAGCTCTTACTAGTTTTTATTGCTGCTCTTACTAATATCTATTGTCACTTGTAGATTTCTTACTGTATTGATGCTTTGTTGATGCTTCTACTGCATGTTGTTCCAGAAATGTAAGTTGCTTTGGATAAAAGCCAAATGAGTAAATGTAAATGTAAAGTATGTATATATGCAAGTATAAATCATTTGCCAGTTTTAGATGATTGTTAGTTTTGGTATTGCCTGATATATGCTATACAAAATTAGTCCAGACAGCAGTGTTTATCAGCATGATCTTCCAAAACCTTTAAACAAAATTTTGCTAGTGACATCTGCCTAAACATTGTTCCAGTTTAAACCTGATTAATCGTTTCCAGCATCACCCTTGGCAACAACTTTTACTCCTTCTAACTGTACAAAAGGACCCACATCTTAAACAAACGCCTATGGGCATGATTGAGGTATTCTTCATAGCAGGCATGCTCCATCAGCTACTGAAAATCTGAAACATCTGAAGTATCTGTGTTAGTGACGTAGAGGATGTCCAAAACACAATCAGAAGGTACAATCAGATCTTTCCAACTATATGCAAAAGTCTTAACTGCAATCAAAAGAGCTGCTGAAAACAGTTGTCCAGCCACCGCCAGATTTTCCTGGGAGACAAAGAGAGGTGAAGAGGCGTGAGAACAAGTAAGAGATCTAGCAACAGATTGTTCAAAAACAGAAACACACTCCGGCTGAAAAGGGCTTAAGTCGAAACACATTGCGTGTTGGCATGCTAACATTTGCTAATTACGAAACACGGGTTAGATTTCAAATGTGCAGAAATCTTGTTGAACCAGAGTAGCTATTATAGTCCAGGAGTTCATAACTGAATTGAAATTGATTAATTTATTATTGACATGAAAAGGTGCCACATGCACATTCAGCAAGGATGATATTAAATAAGAAAAGCTACAGGAGAAATCTGAAAGCAATACAGAATGCCTGACAGCTTTAGTCCATTATGTTTTTATATTTTGAGTTGTCACCTGTTGCCTGAATTTTGTGTCTCAATTTTCATAAATTTTACTGTAGAACTGTAGAATTTATTTTAAAAAAGTGAGATGTGTTTGTGTGCAGTGTTGGAAGTAACGCATTACAAAAGTAACGCAATTACAGTAATGTATTGCTTTTTATTGTAACGCAGTAATATAACGCATTGCGGAAAGAAAATCTGTAACATTATATCCGTTACAATCTCAGTAACGCGTGTTACAATTTAGTGTTATAATTCACCTACATCGAGAAACATTTCGGGAGCTGAAAAACAAATCCATGAGTAAAAGAGTAACGTTATTTCCTGTTACTGGAATCCGATGGTCGGGATTGTAGCCAGGGTGAAAACCTGTTAAGAGGAGTTTGTCTCCTCTTAACAAGACGGTTGCTCCCCTGATGGATCATGCCTAAATAGATCTCTATAGGCTGTGTGTTTGTGCTTTAATGAATTACTTTCATGATTACAGAGGCTGCTGTCAGTTCATCCTGACCGATCCTGTCAGAGTGTCGGGAGATTAATTTACATTTACATTTATTCATTTAGCTGACGCTTTTATCCAAAGCGACTTATTTTAAATTGCTATACATGTCAGAAGTCACACGCCTCTGGAACTAGGTCCGGCTCTGATGTGTGTGAAAATGTTATCATTTAGTAAGAGATTTCAGTCTGGAACAAAGTGGTGAACTGACCAACCAAGTGTCAGATTTACATGGCTAGGGCCACACAGCTAGTGTGGCTAAAAAGCCAAGTATCTAATCTATGACCTAAAGTTGAAATCTGTAATATCTTGTGCTAAACAATTCCTGGTTTAATTGATTAATGCTAACCTGGGGCCAACTTTTCCAAAATGACACGTAATAAAAATCCAGGCAGAAGCAGTTTTCGCACAGATATCTTTGACAGAAAACATAGAGGGAGGTACAGGATGAGGAGGCTTCCCAGCTGCAGATACTGGTGTTATTATGTTACACTTTAATGATGTTAGTATCCATTGAGCAGATGTAATTTTAGAAGGCAAATTAGGAGAGACAGGTTTCCTGGCCAAAAGGAAATCTGCACACTGATCCCTGTCTCTGTTGCTTGTGATGCTCTAACAGAGAATAAGAGAATGGTGTTATTTCATTTCAAAATGACGTTACTATGTAACAGTGGCGGATCTCATCTGATATGCAGGCATGGGAGATCTCCTATGACAGCATGATGGCACAGAGGCTTGAACAAAAGCTTATGTGGGTCAAAGAACATCTTGACAGAAGTATTTCCTTAAACACCCAAACAGTGTACACATGAGTGTGCACGCCACCGTGACGAGACAAGAGTTCAGGATTAAATAAAACAACTTAATTGATGCACTTATCTTTACAAGTAGTCACACGCACATGCACCTACGCACAGAATGAAGCATACCAAGTGCTGGTATTTCATTTTGCTTTGTTTTGATTGTAAGGAGTGAGTTCACTTTGCGCTTAAAGTTTCCACCTGAGGTGCAGTGCTCGTTGATTGCCTTTGTTCTGCAGGGTGTGTCTAACTGCTGCAGCTGTTCTGCAAGTACAAGGGCAACAAGGGCAAAAATAATTTCCTTTAACTGAAGAACCGTCTGAAGCTGGTATGAAATTAAAAATTATATCATCAAGACTTAAAATGAAGGAATCCCTTGATGATGCATGATTGGACAGACGGTGACGAGAGATGGGTAGAGTTCAAATAAATCGGCTAAGACCTGAAATGTGTGTAAAATCATGGTGCAGTAACCAATCACACCTGACATCCTACATATATTTATTATTACAGTTAATTAAGTCAAATGAAGCTTTGGCAAAA